TGAACCTTGCTTTATCAACTTGCTCCTGCAAACAATTTCAAGAGTATCGATTCCCCTGCGTACATGCATGTGCTGCTATTCTTAAGGCATGTCAACAGCCCTTACAGTTTGTTCATATTACATATCATACTGCAGCTCTTCAAAATGTTTATAAAGAGTCGGCTCAACCCGTTGACGTAGAAACATGCTTTCTTGATAAAAAAACCTGCCACCAGCCACAATAAAACAAGCAGGGTGATCACGGAAAACTCGTTTACGTAGCCGCGGAGAAACAGCGCCGGAAGACCTGCTCACCTGTGAAAAATGTGGTGAAAAAGGTCATAATGTACATACTTGTAGCCGAAGGCATCGACAAAAATAAGATTAGTCTAATCCGAAGCAATATGTATTCATATTTAATTCTTATATCAAGCGCAAAATTATGCTAGTTTGAAAATTATCTTTTATATAGTATTTAAGCAAAAGTAATTATTACTATAGTGCTTATTTATTTATCTAATAAATCGATATACTATATAATAAAAAGTGCCTTTGCGGCATCGTGATCACGTTTTTTCAACTATTGATATATTTGGGCCCCTATATGTAATATTTTTCAAAAATCAGGCCCTTATTTGTAATTATTTTTAATTTGGGCCCTTATCCGTAATTATTTTCACTTTTCAGGCCCTTATTTGTAAATTCCCCTAGAATTTAAGATGACATATGTCACGTGTTGCATAATATCGGTATATTAATTTACGACATTCAATTATGTCGGCTGCATGGTATATAGTGTCTGTCACGAAGACGCATGGAAGACGATTCTCTCTTCCAATCTCATCGCTCAGCAACTACTCCGTCAACACCGGCACCTCGCAGACAACGTAGCCTACCTCCGAGTCTGCCTTCGTTCGATACCTCTTTTCACCGCACGTTACATTCGCGCATATCAAACAAACATCATGGTATAAGTCGTGCGAAAGTAAAAGTTGCTATCGAACTTGAACTAAGGGAAGAGAGGCTAAGGGAGGCTTCTGCGCGTGGTGATTGTAATACCGGTATCAGTAGCTTTGCTTGCTTTATTTTCGAAATCAGAGATCGTTGATCTCAATCAGTCTGCCATGGTACCGTTTTCAGGACTTTATTAATATTCATTTAATAATTTCTATGCAGTTATTAAATTACTTTCTACTACACCGCAGCCTGATATTAACAGTGCAGATGAGAAAGGCAGAACACCTTTACATTTTGCTTGTGCTGGTGGATATAGCGATTGCGTTAAGCTATTAATCGAACGTGGCGCAAATGTTAATGCGGAAGCAGATATTGCCGGAAATAGACCTTTACATTTAGGTAATCTAATAATCCATTTTCACTCTTGCGAATAACGTTAATTACAATTTTCTTATAAACCTTCATATTAGCTGTAATTTCCAATAAAATGGATTGCGTGATAGCATTATTAGAAGCAGGTAAAGAAATCTATTTGACATTAGTATTTGTTATCGCTATTATTTGAGTTTCACCTACGGAAAACCACACTTTGGGTAAATAATTTAGGTGCAAAAATAAATATGGATGATGCATTTCATCGTACACCATTATCGGTTGCAAGATCGCGCCTTAATATTTTAATGAAGAATATCGAATCTGCTAATATAGATGTTGAAGATATGGTGGAAGATAATGAAAACATACCCGAAAATCGGGAAATTTTTGTGCAGGTTTTACAGGTAACAATATATTGTGGTATATTAATATGAGAAATGGATATAACTACCTTAATGATAATTTTATGTACTTTTCACTTTGATTTTACTATTTACATTTTGTTGTTTGTAGATTATCAAAATTTTACGTCATTATTTATCAATAGAAAGTCGAGAGTATGGTAATATTCAAGATACAAGAAGTAATACTAAAATTATAGGTTCAGTCGATACTTCTTCTTTTAGTACTGGAAACGAACCCATGATAATTTCTAATACAGAATCAGCAACGAGCGCCATGGAAGCTTTAGATGATTTAACTTCTCAATTATCACAAATGGCCATTTCAACTTCAAAGTTTGAAAAGTCAAATAGTGACAGTGCTATAAAAAGCTCATCAGCAAATCAATATATACTACCTGATTCGATTGTCTTGAATAAGGTTCAAAATGTTCTTGATAACATAATCAAATATCAGACCTAAAAATCTAGAAATTTTAATTTTTTTAAGTGTTTGACGATATATTTGACGTAATCCTATTCATTTTCAAAGTATATAATATATTGAGGGTTATGTATGCTATTGTTTTGTACAAAAGTAGATTGAAATCTGATATACAGAATAAATTTCCTGTTATTAAGCAAATAAAGATTTATTGTCCACCATTACTTATTGAGCATCAAAATTACAAAAATTTATATTAACCTAATGTTTGGATAAAAATCTAAAGATAATTTATAAATCATAATATTGTTGTATCTACATCAGGTGTAATTAAAGGTAATAAAATAGGTATTCCTGTAAAGTAATATTCAATTACATGTGATCTTTTTGTTACTTCGGAAAATTACACAAATGGTTTATCTTTTTTATTATTTATGTAAAATAATAACAAAGTGCGGGCGCGGTCAGCGGAGTTTCTAGATTTATAATTTAATTAGTGGCAGATTTAATTTTTGAGATAATAACCGACTAAGCCGGCTTAGCCGTATCGACTCGGCTAAGGTTATATGTTTTTAGTCGACTACAATCACTAGCATATGCTAAGATCCATTTAGTATTTGTAAGAGTGTATTTGAGCGCCTTTGTCCAGGTATCATATTGGTTAAATTGTAGTCTTATTGACACGTCGCCAATTTTATCCTTATTAATCCTAGATGAAAGTAAGCTTACCATCAGTTACATGAGACTCTAAAGAGTCTATTAAAAAGTAAATATATTGTAATTACCGATATGGTAATTTGAAATTACGTTCTTGGCTCTCAGCATAATCACCCAACTGTTGTAAACAGTTTAAAAAGGCAACCATTGCATGGTCAAAACGACGATATAAAAACAATCTTCCTATTGCTACATCTCCTGAACTATACCTGAAAAGAAATTTGTTAGAAAATATGTCATAAATTAAGTAATAAAGATATTTACTTAAAATAGTGACTCACAATTCATATGTAGATTTCTTGTCACCATCAATATATTCAATCTTTGAAAAAGAACCCAACGGAATTAATCGATAACTAAAGTATTTCTGCAAGTTAGTCAATATAGATATTTTTTTGATTTTGTTTTTAAAAAAAGGAAGTAGCATACTTTTTGAACGTGAAATTAAGTTTGTTAGCAATGGTTGCCAGTAATAAGAGTGTTTGTCCCCAAGCTGCGTTAATTTCGTTCCAATCAACCTTATTATTTATTAAAAAATGAACATTATTTTTGCTTAATTTTCATAATTTTTCACGGTCGAAAAATAGAATAATGATATTATACCATCACATCTGGCAAACGACCAAGTCTAAAACCGTTAATAGTTCCAAAATGGCCATCATGACTAATACAGATACAGAAAGTGTCATTATATACATTGGTCCTCTGAAGTTTTTCCAATTGTTTTGCATCATGATCATATTTTAAATTGACGCTATCTCTCTCATTTTGAAAGGCTTGTAGTTGAAGATGAAAATCATTAAATTCCTGCCAATAACTAAAAGTTACAAAATTTACAAATAACATAAATGCACAAAGTACTTTTTCTTAGCAATTAACACTGGTATTAATATGGTCATATACCTTTCCTCAAGTTTATCAAGTTCCCTGGCCTCTTCTTCCAAAGCGGCTAATTCTTTTTTCAATGTATCACGTTCACTTTCTATTTCTTTTAATGTTTTAATAGCAGCTAATTCACTGGATCGTATCTGTCGAGTACTTTATAATTAATACTAATTTTATAAACATTCAATCATTTGTTTGCTTTTAATATTACCTCATGAATTTCTTTTTGCAAACTCTCTTGTTCAGCGTCGCTTATAATGCTGACATTAACTTTCTTTAAGAAATCTATATAACAATCTCTTTCTCGGGAGGCATCACTTAATTGTTTGCTTAAACTATCCAAAAGCATATCAGTGCATTCTTGACACATTGGATGATCTATTTCGGACCTAGATGACATAAGGTCAAAAAGACGGTTGGCAACTTTAAGTCTATAACTAAGACTAGCTCTTTGTCTGTCATCGTTGTTCGTGTCTATATTACCATGCTCTGGTAATACTTGGTTGTTCAGAGGCTGTGCTACTTGTGAACGAGATAACATTACATAAGATTCTGATGGTAACAAGAAAGATTCTTTAGTACTGATCTCTTTGCTTGGAGATCGGGATAATCCAAGATTCTTTGATCCTGATCGTTTACTCGGTATGGAAAGCCCATTGCGATCGATGTTATTTGATTGCTTAGAGCTTCTATTAATTTCTGCAGTTTCAGATCGTCGATCTACTGTCGATGAGTCTGATGGGCGAATGACCTCTTCAGGAAGAGGTGCTAAGTAAATTTGATTGGCGTTCGGTTAGGTTCGAAGCAATTGATATGTTGTTTGATATGTTGTTAAATTAAAGAATCATACATTACCTAGTAAGATATCAATTGAAGTCGAACCAAGATCGGTGAGTGTATCATCAATCCTCAGGGTATGTTTACAACGCTGACAGGTAAATACTTGTGCTTGTTCCATATTGAAAGAGAACTTGTTCCTGAAAAAGCGTGCGTACATTAATTATCACAGTGATACAATCACCCCATGATCAACCTATCAGAATATTCTTTATATGAAATAGAATTTGATCAAATCATTCCTCCTATTCCCTACCCGCTTTTGTCATCTAGCAAAGATGGTGAGTTTTTTTTTTTTTTTTTTTTAATTAATCCATTATATTTAAAATATATTTATTCACAACAAGATATATTCAAATCATCGAAATTATCGATGCCATAGAAGTTCTGCAAAATGATTAAATAATTATATGTAATTTTTGACCTTAAAAGATTTTTTTTTAATGAATTAACATTTTAAAAATTATTGATCGATAAAAGAAATCAACATTAGTACTATCGTATTAGATTCTTTGCCAGAACTTTTTTGAGTTTTTTGAGTCTTGCTAGTCTTTTTTAGTAAAAAAAATTTTTTTTTTTTTTTGCAAACAATATTTACAAATAGTCTGCGGTAAGACCTAAAATCAATGTTCATTCCGAAACGGGAGACGGATGTCTTGAAACACTAGAGTTCCCTGCTGTGTTCAAAGCTCCAATTCGACCAGATATTGTGAGATTTGTTCACACAAACATTTCCAAAAGTAACCGTCAACCTTATGCAGTATCATCAAAAGCCGGGCATCAAACCTCAGCAGAATCTTGGGGTACTGGACGTGCTGTTGCTCGTATTCCTCGCGTTTCTGGTGGAGGTACTCATCGTGCTGGACAGGTTACCAGAGATTTCTAAACTTATTGATTCTAAAATATGACAGATTAATATTATAATAACTTTATGATTATTTTGAATTATCCTAGGGTGCTTTTGGTAACATGTGTCGTGGTGGTCGCATGTTTGCACCTACAAAAATTTGGCGTAAATGGCATGTCAAAACTAATCTTAACCAAAAGCGATTCGCCACAGCATCAGCTTTGGCAGCATCAGCCATTCCGTCTCTTGTATTGGCACGAGGTCATAGAATTGAAGAAATTCAAGAGATACCACTCGTTATTGGAAATGGCATTGAATCTTTAGCCAAAACCAAAGCGGCTGTTAGTCTTTTAAAGGCAGTTCATGCTTATAGGGATGTAGTTAAAGTTTCTAATTCTCGTAAATTACGAGCTGGTAAAGGTAAACTACGTAATAGACGCCATCGTCAACGTAGAGGACCCTTGATAGTTTATAATGAAGACCATGGAGTTGTTAAAGCTTTTCGTAATATCCCTGGAGTTGAATTGGTTAACGTTAGGAATTTAAACCTATTACAATTGGCGCCTGGTGGCCATTTAGGTAGATTTATTATTTGGTCTCAAGGAGCTTTTGCTTTGTTGGACGCTCTTTTTGGAACTTATAAAAAAGCAGCTGATTTGAAAAAGGATTACCGGTATGACAGTTTCTTAATAGTAATTAAACAACACACGATCTGATCTTAATAACTATCATAATGCAATCCTAACAATATATTCACTTTTTTTCACCCTTATTATAATAGTTTGCCACAGCACATCGTTTCTAATCCTGACATCACTCGTCTCATCAATTCCAATGAGATTCAACAAGTCCTCCGACCGGCTGGAGAAAAGCATCAAAAACGTCCTTATACTCAAAAGAAAAATCCTCTTCGTAACAATGGTGTAAAAATCCGGTTGAATCCTTATGCTAAAGTGTTACAGAGAGCAGAAATCATTGCAGCTGAAAAACGCAAAGCGGGTAAAGTGAAAAAGAAACGAGTTCAATTCAAAGCTTCAACAAAGATTTCACCAAGGTATTGTTTTTTATTTTATTCCTTTTTTTTTTTTTTTGTACTTTTTGTAAAAATAATTAAAAAACAATTCATTTTATTATTAGATTTATTGAGGTCTTATTGGAAAAGCAATAGCATCGTAAAGTTTAGAGTTTAGAACCGGGTTATAGTAAACCGAGTCACCCGTGTCAAAACGGTTCAACCGTGTCAAAAATTTACAACTCGGGTCAAAACGGTTGAATATGCAACCTCTAAAAATCTGTTACTATTAAACATAAAAGTTTAACACATTGTTGTATTGTGAATAAACCCTTTTTTTTCTTACTAATTTATCTAAATGTTCCATCCCGCTAATCTGGATTTAAAAAAAAGGTACAAACTTTTGGAGTTACTATACGGACTATCTATTGCGAAAAATTTGTTAAAAATTTTCTTTACAGCTATTATCATAATTTCTGGGACACCTGCTCATTACCCGAAATCTTTTTGGTCGTTCGGTAAATTACCTAACTCTCCGGAAACTATATCGCTATCTTCGAACCTTCAATCCGGATGTAATTCCCGGAGAGTTAGGTAATTTACCGAACTACCAAAAAGATTTCGGGTAATGAGCAGGTGTCCCAGAAACAATGATAATAGCTGTAAACCTTCGTTATTATTTTCTTTGCTAATATGTAATACACCCGGGATTTCGTATCGCTGGGGCTCAGGTCGCATAACGTGATTGCACTGCCAAATTCATAACTTCGGATAGATTAGCCACGTCAGCAGATCGACCACAATTTATGGCCGACATTAAACCATAATCAATAATAATCATCTGGACTAAAGGCCTGCATTGGGTCCAAAAGCCCGGCCTATTTTGCGAGCCGGGCCGGGCCTAACAATTACAGCTGTTTTCATAAATTTTGGCAAAAATTGACCAACCGAATATTTGCCGATGCGATAATCTATCGCTATGTAATCACATCCGTATCAAAATTTATCGAATTTGCAAATATTCGGTCAGCCAGATGTTCCAGAGTTTATGAAAACAGATAATTGCGGGCCGGGCCAAGCTTAATTTAATATACCGTAAATGGCCGGATACAAGATCCGGGTCTGTTACATTTCACCAATTTTAAAACCTATATTTAGACCCGTGGGTCTCTTTTATGGGTGTGGGTCTGATAATTTGAGGGTTTATTCTATTTTCATAATATTTTTCTTAGCTTTTTCCTATTTGTATACCCCGGGTCTTT